ATCTTTATTATTCTTCCTTTATTATCTTTCCTTCTACTTGTTTTTGGTTTGTTCTAGTTTCTTAAGGTGAAACATTAATTTATTGATTTGAGATCTTTTTTTATTTTTAAAGATGTTGATGAACCTTTATTTTATCCATTTACTTATATATGGTGCTGAGAATTGAACCCAGTTCCTCACACATGCTAGGCAAGTGCTTTACCACTGAGCCACAACTCCAGCCCTTTTTTCCTTTTTTAATATAAACATTAGAAGCTATACATTTCCCCCTAAGCAACACTTTGGCTGCATTCCATAAATTTTTCTACATTGTTTTCATTTTAATTAATCTCAAAGTATTTTCTAATTTCCTGTGTGATTTCTTCTATGACCCATAGAATTTTTAGGAGTATGTTGTTGAATTTCTGTATAAAGTTTCCCAAATCCCTTTCTGTTATTGATTGCTAATTTCATTCGATTATGGAATGAGAATGGATTTTGTATGAGTTCAATCTTTTTCAATGTATGGATCCTTAGAGAGTTTTCAGACCTCACATACGGTCAATCCTGGAGAATATTCCATGTGCATTTCAAAAGAATATGAATTCTGCTGTTTATGGAGTGTCCTATAGATGTTTGTTAGAACGTTGTTTGGTGTCTGTCTGACTTGCATAGCTGTGACCTTTGTTTTTTAAAGGAAGTGCTTAGGGGAAAATTTATAGTTGTTAATGTTTACGTTGAAAAGGAAAAAAAAAATCTCAAATCAATAACCTAATATTTTGCCTTAAGAAACTCAAAGAGGGGCTGGGGATGTGGCTCAAGCGGTAGCGTGCTAGCCTGGCATGCGTGCGGCCCGGGTTCGAYCCTCAGCACCACATACAAAGATGTTGTGTCTGCTGAAAACTAAGAAAAATAAAATATTAAAATTCTCTTTCTCTCTCTATCTCTCTCTCTTTAAAAAAAGAAAAGAAAAAGAAACTCGAAGAACAAACCAATACAAGCAGAAGGGAGGACAATAAGGATAATCAGGATTTGAGTGCAAGTAAGTGAAATACAGCAAAGCGACAGGGAGAATCAACTAATCCAGAAGTTAATTATTTGAAAAGAATTGACAAACCTTTAACTAGAGACYGAGCCACTCAAACCCAGGTCAGCCAATGGTGCAGACCTCACAGCTGTTGATAGAAAGTGATGTGGCTGTGGTTGTTGAGTCCTAAAGTCTCCCACAGGTGAAATAGTCATTAATAAGCACACTACCCAACAACATGCAGCGATGGCGGGTATTTCTGTCGTCATAATAAGATCTCTTAGGTTTTYACCTGGTTTTAATATAACAGCTGGGAGTTTTCTAGAGTGGTGAAGCTGATCACAAGAATTTCTCTAATTTTTTTGGGGTCACTCTCTCCTTCTCTGGTGGTCATCTTTATCAGCATTGCAAACCAGAACAGAAAGAGCCCAAGAGTAATCAGTAGCCCATCTATGATTTCCTATTGGATTTCGCCCATCTCAGGAAACTTTGCTTAAGAGAGTGAAGGTTCCCGTAATGGGTCCCTGCAGCACCCAGGACCCACTGGAAAAAAATAACTCTGAGACCCTCTACTGTGATCTTGGAATAGACAGAAGGTTGTCATGATAGTAGGGCTGAGTTGTACAATGGCCCGGCTGTTGCCATTCTTTTTTAACCAAGCACCATGTGTCCTGCCTATCAGCCTCGAAGTAAACCAGCCAAAATTCTAATGAGTCATCCAGTTTCTGTCCATAGTGGTGATAAATTTTACCCCATCTGCATTTAGTATGTGTGTACATCTTGGCAAATGYTGTCTGAAAGGGGATGGAAACTTCTATAATTCCGGGATGAGTGTCAGTACTTCTTGTTTCAATGAGGCAGACCTGTAGCTGTGAGAAACTATCTATTCCTCCATTCCCCAACCCCACCCAGAGGAGAGGAGTAATAATCAGGGAAATGACTGGTAGCTGACTTTGAACCTACTTCATGGTAACTGGCCTGTAAGCAACTACCTAATTCCTTATGAAACAAAGTTGAAAACCTTTATTGCCCAGTTGGTCATACAATTTGGTCAACAAGCATKCTACCAATTCCCTGTCCTTCCTTCAAAACCTGTTAATCAGCCCATGAAATCCTCATCTTTCTTACAAAAAGCAACATCTCTGTCCCCATTCTACCCTCATTGGCATCAATGTCAAGAAGTATATTGCTTGCTTTGGCAGCACATATACTAAAATTGGAAGGTACAGAGAAGATTAGCATGGCCCCTATGCAAGGATGACATGCAAATTCATGAAGCATTCCACAGTTAGAATTTATTAATAAAAGAATCTTTAACTTAAGAAAAGAACTAAGATCTTTCCCCKTTTGGGGCGGTTTGTTTTGGTTTTGGTGGGAGGATGTGGGGATTGAACCCAGGTTCTTAGGCATGCTGAGTATCTTAGGCATRCTAAATACATGCTCTACCACAGAGCTACACCCCATCCTTTACCCTATGCTGAAAGGGGATGGGAACTTCTGTACTTCCGGGATCAGTGTCAGTACTGCTTGTTTCAATGAGGCAGACCTGTATCTGACTGTGAGAAGCTATCTATTCCTCCCCAGGACATATTTATGCAGGATATGCAGGAGGGGTATTGGGGATTGAACTCAGGGGCACTCAACCAMTTAGCCACATCCCCAGCCCTATTTCTTGTATTTTATTTAGAGACAGACTCTCACTGAGTTCTTTAGTGCCTCACTTTTGCTGCGGCTGGCTTTGAACTCATGATCCTCCTGCCTCAGCCTCCCAAGCCACTGGRGTTACAGGCATGTACCACCGCACCTGACCCTACCCTACTTTTAAACAAACTAGTTAAGACTGACACAAGTTCATGGATGCTGGCAAAAGACACAAGACTTCTGGGATGAAGACAAAGGACTTTATTACAGCACAGCAAGCAACATGAATGTAAGCATATCTGTTACTTCCCCCTTCCAAGTCTATTGAAGGGGGCCTGCATAGATGCCTACACATGGTGAGTTGAATTACAGAGAACCCAGATCTTTTATAAGGGACAGTGGGTATAGCAGCCCTTTGCTCTAGAAGGAGCCATTATTTCTACAGTCCAAGGCTGTACACTATACAAACATACTTGAAGATAGTCCAGAATAAAGGTACATACTCTTTTGTGTCTCTGCTCCTGCATACCTGCATAAATGAGAGATTGGTAGAGAACAGTTGCCTRGTACTCTTTACTCACATCTCCTCACTACATCCTCACACAATCCTGCCAAGTAAACATAAGTAGCTCTGTTTCAGAGGAGGAACTGAAGTCTGGAGAGGTGAAGTCAATTCCTCCAGGTGACAGAGCCAGTAAGCAGAAGATCTAGGATCAAACTCAGGCCTGCCTGATTCCAGGCCTATGTCTTGTCCACCCTACAGTGGATTTTGAGGCAGGAAGAAGTCCTGAGAGAGGAAGGGGATAGAATTCCCTGGAGTAGTGGGACAGGAAGAAAGTAGGAACAGTAGGAAGAGATGAGAGGGAACAAGGATTTTATTTGTAGGATCTTGGAGACCATAATAAGGACTTTGAACTATTGTTTAAGTGTAATAGGGAGATGCCAGCTAGTTCTGAGCAAATATAACATGCCATATGTTTTAAAAGACTTATTCAAGTTTCCTACTCTGTGAAATGGTGACAACAGAACAACAATATGAGGAGAAAATGAAAGGGGAAAAATGGGAGGATAAATGACCAGTTGATACCAGGCAGAACAGGAGTTGAGTGGGTCTTGATGATGACACAGAGGGTACACTGGGGAATTCAGGATGGGCAGAAACTGGAGACTGTAATGGCCTGGAAAGTCTGTGCATATAGGCTGGAGTCCAAGAGATGGTTCAGGGACAGTTTCTATAGTCAGTCTGGCAGAAATGAATTGGGATGCAGGCCCTGAGTTAAGTACATTGCTGCCCAAGAACCTGTTGATGATGGAGAGAGTAAAGAGGTACACAGGGCTCTCCTAGGAGGCAGCAAGGGTGAAAAAAATGGCAGTGCCAGGGGGTCCTGAAGGAGGAAGATGGGGATTGGTGAAGGGCATTACAAGTAAGATTAAGAAAGCATATTTTGCTGGGCATGGTGGGGCACGCCTGTAATCCCAGTGGCTCCAGAGGCTGAGATGGGAGGATCATGGGTTCAAAGCCAGCCTCAGCAAAAAGTGAGGCACTAAGTAACTCAGAGAGACTCTGTCTCTAAATAAAGTACAGAATAGGGTTGGGGATGTGGCTCTGTGGTCGAGTGCCTCTGAGTTCAACCCCTAGTACAAAAAAAAAAAAAAAAAAAAAAGAACATGTTTTGTCCAGGGAAGGAGGTTTCTGATGCGATTATGGGGGGTCTAGTCCAAACTCCTTTTTTACTGTCCTGGTTTACAGCCTTGAGACCTAGCAAGTTGCACATCTAGGGACCCCTGCCTACCCTATCTGCTTCTAATCTAATAAGGAGGTAGATGCACATAGAAAAAGAACACGAAAGAAAGGGGAAAATCATAAAGGCCAATGTTCAGGGAGTACCAGCAACTTTCATTTGCAATCCACTTAAGAAAAGCCTAACGGTCACAAGTATATGTAATAAGTACCCCATCCCCACTCAAGAGCGGCGCGGCTGGAACCTGATCTGCGCATGCCCAGCACAAAGCGGGTTTTTCAGTCAGCAAACTTTCTGAGGTCATAAACTTAAAAAAAAAAAAAAAAAAAAAAGTCTGCTTAGGGACAGGCTTTGCATTAGTACCAGGAGTCCCAGGTCTTGGCACTAGGTGGGGGTAGAGCATGTGACAGACTGGAACCCTGGACGTGCAAAAGGGGAGGGTCTTGAAATAAGCCGACAATGATCCCCGCTGGTCCAAGTGAGGCTCCACACGCGCGCAAACACGGTGGCGGTGGTTGGTTGGGATTACGACACTGCCCCGCCGGCTCAGCCGGTGAGGAAAGGACAACCCCAAGTCAGGCAGAGGCCAGCGAGGGCTTTTCAAATCAAGTGGTTCCCTCAATTCGCGGAGGGCAGGAAAAGCGACCTAGCGAACTCACTCCTGAGCCCTACGACGCGAGCAGGATTTCCCCGAACACGCCCCTCCAGTCTGCCAGGTTCTGGGTGACTGACGCCCCTCCCGGGTAAGGTCGAGACCGCTGCAGACACGCCCCACTGTGGGCAGAGCGAGATCTGAGGACTCCTGGGATGCGTCACTTCCGCCCTCATCCTCAGGCCCTTGTGGAAGGGGCGGGGGCGCGGCGAAGGCGCTCTGCTTGTGCGACATTTCCGGTGAGCCCAGCGGCGACAACGGCAACATGGCCCTGAACGGCGCTGGTGAGGACTTGGGCTACGGGGGCCTGTGGCTGCGGGGCGCGGGAGCCTGCTCGCTCCGGCAAGATCCCGGTCCCTTGTGCCTGTCTTCCCCAGAMGTCGACGATTTCTCCTGGGAGCCCCCGACTGAGGCGGAGACGAAGGTGCTGCAGGCGCGACGGGAGCGACAGGATCGCATCTCCCGGCTCATGGGCGACTACCTGCTGCGCGGTTACCGTATGCTGGGCGAGACGTGCGCGGACTGTGGGGTGAGGAGAGGCTCGGGCGAGTGGCCGGCGATGGGCCCGCGGGCAGGCCGCATGGCCCCTCCTCAGCCCTCCCCTTTGAATCCCATCGCCCCGCTTCTCACCCTACCCCGTGTGCTTTCTGGTCCAGACGATCCTTCTCCAAGACAAACAGCGGAAAATCTACTGCGTAGCTTGTCAGGAGCTCGACTCAGACGTGGATAAAGATAATCCGGGTGAGGGGTCCGATGTGCTCTGTGGGGAATCTTTGTGGTGGTAGATGCCCAGAACAGTAGGCCTGGGAGGTGACAGTGGAGTCTGTGGGTGGGCAGACTCCAAGATGCTTTCTCCTTTAGGCTCTGGAGAGGACCATTCATTGAGAACACTAAGCACCTCCTGTTCCCACACTGCGGGAGAGTCTGAGCACARTCAGGCACAGTCTTGATGGGCCTATCAAGTTAGGGCATAAAAAACTGTGATAGGAAAATAGAAAGTGGGTTGTGACTGAGAGTGTAGCTCAATGAAGTGCTTGCCTAACATGTTCAAGGCTCTGGGCATAGTTTTAAAAATCTGCAGCATAGTTTAAAAAACAAAGCAAAACAGTAAAGAGCACAAATAGAGGGTTCCTGGGTGTGCCAGTCATTCTGACCATTCCACCCACTTTCTTCCCTTTTTAGCTCTGAATGCCCAGGCTGCCCTCTCCCAAGCTCGGGAACACCAGCTATCCTCTGCCACAGAGCTGCCTTCTGGCCCTAGGCCCACACCTCAGCCCCCAGTACCACGACCGGAGCATTGTGAGGGAGCTGCAGCAGGGCTCAAGGCAGCCCAGGGGCCACCTACTCCTGCTACGGCTCCAAGTGCAGATGTGGTGACTTGCACACAGGCAGCCCTCCTGCAGAAGCTCACCTGGGCCTCAACTGAGCTGGGCTCTAGCACTTCCCTGGAGACTAGCATTCAGCTGTGTGGCCTTATCCGGGCATGTGCTGAGGCCCTGCGCAGTCTGAAGCAGCTGCAGCACTAAGACCCAGCCCAGCCCACCCCACCCCCGAAAAACCCTCTGGAAAAGTCGCTGTTCCTGTGTGGTTTTTTTTTTTTTCCCCCTTGGTTCTAAATGTGCATGCCAGCCCCAGCTCCACTCCCCTTTTTCCTACTTTTGGCCTCTCACCTCCCTACCCTATACTTTTACTGAAGCCCTGAAAGTTGAGTTGAGTTTATATCTGCAGTCAGGATGAGTGGTAAGTACAGGGCTGTGTGATATCCCCTTTCTGAGGAGGACATAGCCTTCTCAAARTCAGGAGCAAGAGGGTGGACCACCAGCCTTGTCTGTAGCTGCACCCTCCTCCTCTAGCCAGCTAAGCCACTCATTGGTGACTGTGAGATTTGGGATTCTGTTCCCAGGGTAACTTCTCCTCTCTCTCTTAAGCATCCTGGTTCTATCATGCTGCCTCACCTCATGCCCACTCCAGTACTCAGACACTGACAGAGATTGTAGGAACCCCAACTTTGCACGCTAAGAGCCACGCATGGTTTTGCCCCAATATTCTGATCCCTATTTTTAGTACCTTTTCCTAGGGAGGGTAATTGTGAAGGACACTTTGTGGAGAGGGGCAGTAAAAAAGAACCGCCAACGACACCGGCCTGTCCCTTTCGGACTCTTTTTTTCCCCTTCTGTCGGCGCTCCTGTTGCTTTTACCAGGCTTTGCGCGACGCGGTCCCCCAGCCTGTTGCCTGTTTAAGAGAGGCTCCGCCCATGCGGAGGGGTGGGTCAGGGGCGGAGTCAGAGGAGCCAGGGAAGGAACAAAGCGCGGCCTGCGGGTGGCGGCTGTGCTGGGCAGGCCGGGCCGGGAGGTTCCGAGCCTGCGGGTGGCGGCCCGGGCAGGGCAAAGCTTTGCCGGGAGGAAGGTGGTATCGCCCTCTGCGCCGGCACGGCCATGAACGGGCTGCCCTCTGCTGAGGCTCCAGGCGGCGCGGGCTGCGCCCTAGCCGGGCTCCCGCCGCTACCGCGCGGCCTCAGCGGCCTCCTCAACGCAAGCGGGGGCTCGTGGCGGGAGCTGGAGCGCGTCTACAGCCAGCGCAGCCGCATCCACGACGAGCTGAGCCGCGCCGCCCGTGCCCCAGACGGGCCCCGCCACGCCACTGGCGCCGCCAGTTCGGGGCCAGCCTCCGGCCCGCGTCGCCCAGTCAACCTCGACTCGGCACTAGCCGCGCTGCGCAAGGAGATGGTGAGTGGGTGGGCGCCGCGGGGGGAGGGTCCCGGGCGAGGTGGAGTGCAGGGGCACCGGACTGGGTCTCAGAGGTCCCGCAGAGGCATTTGAGTTATGGGGTTTGTAACAGTAATTAGCAGCAGCCAGGCGTGACAATAGTTACTATACATATGTATTTTTAATGTTTTACTCACGTTACCTCATTTCATTCTCAAAGGCAGGAGCAAGAGGGCTGGACCACTAGCCTTGCTCTATTACAACCCCACTTTACAAATGAGGGTCAGTGACTTGCTTAAAGTTCCACAGCTTGCACGTGCCTTCTGTTGTCCCTAGAACTTTCACTTCGGAAAGATTGGCTAGGGTTGTGACCTGGGCCGGGGGCTCTGGATTCCAGGAGAGCCCACTGTCAGTTGTCTGCAGGTGGGGTTACGGCAGCTGGACATGTCGCTGTTGTGCCAGTTGTGGGGCCTGTATGAATCAATCCAGGACTACAAACACCTGTGCCAAGACCTGAGTTTATGCCAGGACCTGTCATCTTCCCTGCACTCGGACAGCTCCTATCCACCGGATGCCGGCCTCTCTGATGACGATGAGCCTCCTGATGCCAGCCTGCCCCCTGACCCACCACCCCTCACTGTGCCCCAGACACATAATGCCCGAGATCAGTGGCTGCAGGACGCCTTCCACATCAGCCTTTGAACAGCTGGGGTGGGTGGGAATGCACCCATGCAAAAGGGTCAAAACTCGCCCCTGAGCAAGTCCTCAGAAGACAGTGCCTGCTCTTCCACCTGTACCACCTCACCTCAGGAGAGCCAGGCATATGCCTCTCAGGCAAAACTGCCMACCCCCTCCTGGTTGGTTGGCACTGGGTGGGCACCTGGGTTGCCATGATACTGGGCCTCTTCTCTACATATGTGCACCCCCAGCTTGGCGATGGGGCCCTAAGTATTTTGCACTCTCCTTGGCATCACTGGGATTGGGATGAGTGCCTGGCTCCTATCTTTTCATCTTTTGCTGCTAATGGCAGCTGCTGGCTCAGGGGCATTCCACCTCTGGTCCCTGGGATCCACTGCCYTGGATAAGGGCCTCAGGACCCATGCCTGCACACATCCAAGTCCATAACAGGCCCATGCTGGATATTTTAAATTTAGGGGCCAGCCTCCTGGGCTGGTAAATAAATAAATAAATAAACAAACAAATATCCCCGAGTTCCTGTTCTGATTGCCGGCGCTGGGCAGGAATATAGCGGCTTCTGACAAGTGAGTTCCACATTTCACCGGCAGGTGGCGTCCGAGACCCCCGAGTGAAAGAGGYTTACCAGCGGCGGCTGCGAATCATTCTTCCCCCAGCGGAGTTGGGAGCGTTCCAGGCTGCCCGAGCTTGGCTCCGCAGCTGTAGGACTGCGGTGGAGTCACTTCCCCTCTCCCACTGGCGGCTTTCTCGCCCAGCCCCCCTTTCCCAATCGCTTTGGGTTTTCCTGGCCCGCCGGGAAGGAAGGAGAAGAAGCCGCCCATCTTGAGGAGAGAAACTTTCCACCTCGAGTGGGGGCGGAGTTGGTGCAACACAGGAAATGGGTGGGCCGGAGCGGCGGTCCGGGGGCCCCTCGGCAGGAGAGGGGAAAGCTCAGGAAGGCACTGGAGCTCGTGGCTGCGGAAAGAGCTATGGAGGCTGAAGGGAGTGTAGTTTCGGCCTCAGTAGGGGCCAGAAAAGCCCAGAAGATGAGGGCAGGGCCCCAAGCCTGGGTGTAAGAGACTCAGTGTCAGTGAAGCGAGATTGGGGTCCCAGACACCCTCATTGCACACTTTGTCTCATACACATCGCACGGCTCGCCTGCTCCCCACACACTTTGCACTAAGGACTTTCATGTAAAGCTCTTCCCCTTACTCCGGAAACCGAGAACCACGCTACTGGGACTGAAAGCCATAATCGGGTRTCAAGCCCACCGGAAGAAGCCAGCACATTCATGAGGTTGCACACTTCAGGCTTACAGGCAGCTCACCCCATACTCTGCAGCACAGTCACCTGCCTCCTGGAGTTGCAACTCAGCTGGAACTCCTGGCAGATCAGATGTCCTGATCAAACCAAGTACCAAGCACCAGGGTCCCGTGTCAGTTCGCAAACCTGACAGGGCAAAACGCAGGTCGGGAGGAAACCCACCACCGATGTATTGCCCCAGGCCAGTTCTCTTAAGTCARGGTTTGACTTCTGCAGATGCTCATGCAATAAAAACTCTAACTTAGGTGTTAAGTCTGYAGCTAAAGCAGGGTGAGGGGTGCATTTCCCAGGGGAGAGAAAGTAAACATACCATACATGCAGGCACACTTTTCTTTCCTGTCCATGATAACGGATTTCATGAAATGATGCCTGTCAAAATTAGCCAGGCTCTGTGATAAATGCTTTCTGAGGTTTCATCCTCTCAATGACTCTATAAAAGACAAAACTATAGTTATCCTCATTTAACAGTTGTCAAAACTGAGGCTGAGTGTTAGTACTTTGCCCAAGTCCACACACTTGAGTTGAAGTCAGGATCTGAACCTCCAGCTGCTTGTGGGAGGTCGAGGCTGTCTTCCCTCTAACAGCTGAGGAGTCAGGTTCTAAGAGACTGGGGGATGGATGGGTGCTGCCCACTGATAGGGCACCAAGGTTAGTCCCTAATTCCGCTTGCTCCTTCCTGCTCTGGTTAAGGCATGGATGGCAGCCATGCCAGAGTTGAGAACATTTGAATCTGACCCAGACTATCAGGAAGACCCTGAACAAGTCCCTTCCCCTTTTTGAGTCTCTCTTCCTAGCCTGTGAAATGGGGTCACGAGTAAGAAAGGGCAGCAAGCAGGAAGGGAGGCGGCCAGGATAGCACTCCTCCAGGGCGGCACGAAGTTGCCAGTTGCCCGCTGTCCGGGACCACGCGCTTCCATCCGGACCGCGCGTCCACGCCGCCTCTGCGCGCACCAAACGGGCACTACAGTCGCATGTCACCACCTCCCACCCCCTACCGCCGCCCCCCGCGCGCGGGTCGCGGCTCGAGGCCCCGGAAGCCGGGTCGCTCCGCCCCCCCTCCTGCCCCGGCTCCCGCCCCGCGCCCGGGCCCCGCCCGCCCTCCGACGGGGGTGCGGCTCCAGGAAACGGCGCGCTCGCCGCTCCGCTCTCCTGCCAGCCCGACGCGCCTCAGACCACCCCGCCGACTCAGCCAGACCACCGGGCGGCGGCGGGGACAGCAGCCCGGCGTCCGAGCCTCAAATACTTCCGCACGGACGGGGCGGGCAATGCGGATAGGAGTCCCGGACACCATGGGTACCCGGGCAGGGCCAGTGATCGCAGGCCAGCGGGAAACCTGGGCCTGAGAAGTGGGCAGCAGGAGCGGAGGGGGCCATGACCTCTGTGTGGAAACGTCTGCAGCGCGTGGGCAAGAGGGCCGCCAAGTTCCAGTTTGTGGCCTGTTACCACGAACTGGTGTTGGAGTGCACCAAAAAATGGTGAGTGGGAGGGAGGCCTGAGGGACCATTCCAAGATTGGCTGGGACGCCATCAGGCGGTTTGAGCCTGAGAGAACTCTGCCCGCCAGCCCAATAGCCAAAGGGTTCCATCCCAGTTTGAGCCTGGGGTGCCAGACTGAGGGTCTCAGAAGTGCCTTGCAACTTGTGGAACCCCTAGAGTTGGGGGTGTGGGAACCTTCTTGGGGCTGGGGTCAGGGCTTGGAAGCCTGAGCATCTGTCTGTGCCCACAATTTCATCAGCTGTGGTCAGGGCTTGGGGAGGGAGGTTGGGGGGGTTGGGGCCAGAGAGATGGTAAGGCCGGCACTGGAAAGTTGCAAGTTTTAAGGTCTACAGGTGGCCAGAGTTGGGGCAGAAACCTCATGGACCTTAGTCCAGCTTGGAACAAAGATGTTGTCCCCCTCTCAAGCCCTGCCCAGAGGACACCCCTCCCCTTTAGCCAGAGTGGGCTCTGGGAGGCTGGAAATGTCTTCACAATGTCCTTAAAAGGGGAAACTGAGCACTTGGAGGGATGAGGAGGGAGGCGGGGAGCAGCTTAAAGGGGCCTCAGGACCTAGGAGGTTTGGGGGGTCTGCAGTAGAGGACCTGCAGAGGGCCAGGTAATAGGGTGAGGGTGCAGGCCCTGTCCTAGACTGCCAAAAGGGCCAGGGGCATGTGGTTCAATTGTCCCCACCGGCAGCTGCTGGCCCCTGCGTCACACCCTAAATATACGAGCTCCCTGGTGTCAGCTTCCCTTGGCTGGATTAGGGCACAGCTGTGGGGGCCTCACCGCCCAGCCCAGWGGGGCTAAATTTAGGTTCCCAAGGGTAAGGGCTGGGGCAGGAAGAAACCATGGGGTCTAAGGGGAGGGGAGTGAGCAAAGGCTGGGGTGCCTGAGGCAACTGATATATGTCTCAGGTCTTGTTCACACCGAGCCCTTCACTTGGCAGAAGCCCAGAGAGGATAGGGCCTGACTCGCGGGTAACACACCACAGAGCTAGCACTTGAACTTTGACCTCTGGCTTTTGCCTTAGCATCCTGGGTGAGGCCAGGGGGACGCTGAGCATTGTCCTGGACAGCAGGCCAGGGGTGCAGGCAGTGTCAATGCAGCTGAGTCACAGGCAGTGGGTAGGGCCTTCTGGGCTTCTTAGTCTGGAGACCAGGACAGGAAGCTGCCCCTGCCCAGGTTGGAGCTCCCTGGGAGGGTGTGCCTGGCCTGAGTCAGGCTGCCAACCAGGCCCCCGCCCTCCCTAGGCACCCCGTGTTTTGCTTCCCCTTTCTGGGAAGGCCTGTGGCTATCTTTGCTTGGCTATTGCCTGCAGTTTGGGGTTAGGGAAGAGAGCTTAGCTCTGGGCCAGAGGGCTCAGGGCTCAGCTGTGGGATCTTACTTGGTTGACCCCTTTGGGCCACAGCATCCTCAGGGGTTAATAGGAGAGCAATTTATCCGGGCTTGGCCTAGGAGGGGCAGTGTGTGGGCCAAACCCGAGCATCCTGGCATGGGGCTAGGGACAGGCAAGGAGTGCTGTTGGGTTCCTTTACCTGATTTTCCCTCAACCATCCTCATCCTTGGCAGCAGTTGGACACTAACTCCACAAGGCCCTCTCCCTCAGGCCCAGCCACGTCAGTTCCATGTGTGGAACTAGGCCCTGGGCTTCATGCCTCCTTTTGTCTTGGCCTCCACACATCCCTGCATCTCCTGAGTTGGCCCAGACCTTCCGGAAGTCTTCCCTGACTAGGCTACACTGACATCATCTTTCTGCAAAGCTAGGATCTAGGACTCTGGGGGCAGGCCCCCATGTCTGTGGCCTCACCCCCACTCTCTCCCTGGCCCTCTCCCTCCCTTGCACTTGCCTTCCCCTCTGCCTAGAGCCCTTTTGCTAGAGAACCCCAAATGACCCACCCCTCCCCAACTCACCTCTGCTCAGACATCCCCCTCCTGGCTCTCCCACAACCCCCTGAAGTTAGTTTGCCATTTCTTTTTCTTCTTGCCTCCCACTTCCCTTGTCCTTAGCCCAGAAAGGTCTTGCCTTTCCTTTTTTCCTCGCTGTTTCCCAAACTGGGCTGGGTTCATAGTGGGCAGTGGGTACTTCACAAATAATTTGTGAGTGAACGGACTATTTTTACTCTGAGACTTTGTCTTTGCTTGTGTCTCTGAGTGTGTGTGTGTGTGCGTGTGTGTGTTTGTGTCCATCTGTCTTTTATGTCTGTCTCTGCTTTCCCTTTCTTCTTTTTGCACTGGAGATGGAACTCAGGGGTACTTTTTACTACTAAGCTACATCCCCAGTCCTTTTTATTTTGAGACAGCATTTTGCTAAGTTGCTGAGGGCCTTGCTCAGTTGCTGAGGCTGGCCTCAAACTTGTGATCCTCCTGCCTCGGCCTCCTGAGTGGCTAGGATTACAKGCATGCACATGCCTCTCCTCTTTCCACATTCTTGTTGCTGGTCCATGTTGTCTGGGCCTTTGCCCTTGGCCTGGGCTCCACCCTACCTCAGCAGCCCCACCCTCACCCTGTGGCCCCAGATAAGGGGCTGCCCATGCCCTCTCCTGGGGGAAAGGGACAAGGGCTGAAGGAGGACCCTGAAGGAGGTGGAGAAGAGAAGGAGGACGAGATGAAGAGGCTGGGTGGGCCTGACTGAGCCCCCTCTTTTGCTCCCTCCCTCAGGCAGCCGGATAAGCTGGTGGTGGTGTGGACCCGGCGGAATCGGCGCATCTGCTCCAAGGTGGGGGACAGTGTGGTTGCAGGTTGGGGACAGGGCCTACCGGGTGGAGTGGGAGGCTGGTTGCAGCTGATGGGGAGCTGGAGTGGGGTTCCAGGTCAGACCAGGATGCACAGGGGAGAGGAAGGTAGGGTCAAGTTTGGAGAGAAGGGAATGGGGGTGAGGGAGAAAGAGGTGAGTGCAGGGGAGGACTCACACTGTCCCTTTTAGGCCCACAGCTGGCAGCCAGGTATCCAGAACCCATACCGGGGCACCGTAGTGTGGATGGTGCCTGAGAACGTGGACATCTCCGTGACCCTGTACAGGGTGAGTCTCTAGCCTCTGGCATGGACAGGAGCAGGCAAGGGATTGCCGTGCTGGGCAGCCATGGGGCCCATGGTGGGTTGTTCATCCAGTGAAAAAGAATAGAGGGGAGATACCCAGAATTTCTGGTGCGGGGGTTGCACTACTCCACATGGGTGGCCCGGGAGTTCTTGGAGGAGTTGGCATTTGCCACACCTGCAGGAAGAGGGGCAGCTGGCATTGGGGAGCAGAGGAGCTGGCTGCAGGCCCACAGGCGTGAAGGCCTCGCAGCTCCTGAGCCAGCTCAGGCTCTTCTGCTGCCCTCTCTGCAGCCCTGTACTCACTCACGCCCTTGTTCCCAGGACCCCCACGTGGACCAGTATGAGGCCAAAGAGTGGACATTTATTATTGAGAATGTGAGTGCTGGGGTGGGATGGAGAGGGCTGGGGTCCRGGGGATCTGAGGGCAGCATGGATGCTCCTTGCTCCATTCCACCCCTACCCACAGGAGTCCAAGGGGCAGCGGAAAGTGCTGGCCACAGCCGAGGTGGACCTGGCCCGTCATGCAGGGCCTGTTCCAGCCCAGGCCCCGCTGCGGCTGCTGCTGAAGCCCAAGTCTGTGAAGGTGGTGCAGGCTGAGCTGAAGCTAACTCTCTCAGGGGTGCTACTGCGGGAGGGCCGTGCCACGTGAGTGCCCACTTGCCCTCCTGGCCCTGGCCTGTGATCTCTGGCCCCAGCCCTCATCCCTGACCTCTCACCCTCAGGGATGATGACATGCAGAGCTTGGCCAGCCTCATGAGCGTGAAGCCTAGTGATGTGGGCAACTTGGACGACTTTGCTGAAAGTGACGAGGATGAGGCTAATGGCCCAGGGGCCCCTGAGGCCCGGGCTCGAGGCCCCCAGCCAGGTGGGCTCCCAGCCTGCCAAGGCTGAGACTGCCAAAGCCTAGGAGCATTGGGGGTACCTAGGCTACAAGCCGCTGACTGTGCTGGGGTGGGGCCAGCTTGTGCATGCCCAGAGGTGGAAGCTCATTTCTGCCTAGCACTTCCAACCTGCCCAGCAGCCCTGTTTGTTCTAAATGGATTCTGCCCTATAGCATTGATCTGACTGAGTCCTGTAGGATGGCTTCCCCTGCCCCTGGCCCTCTTAGCCCCCSGTTGGTGGGTGCCTGCCTGGACTGTGCCTGACCTGAGAAGCCCCGTCACAGGCCCAGAGCTGAGCCGGGCTGCAGTCCAATCTCCCCACCCCTCACCACCTGTCCCTCCCTTCTGCTCATTAAGGCTTTTTGTGTGTCTACCCCTGTGGTTTTCTTTCTGGTTCCTCTCTCTCTTTGCATCTGAGGGCCTGTCTCTTCTCGCAGGCCTGGGCGGTGCCCTGAGGCTGGGGCGTTTCCCRGGTAGGCCCTGTACTCTAGTTGGGGGAGGGGGTGTGACCTGCAGGCCTGCCCTGGGCTCATTGAACTCCCCATGCCAGATACCTCTCGGGAGCTGAAGACACTTTGTGAGGAGGAAGGTGAAGGCCAAGTACAACCCCAGCAGGCAGGTGAGGCCCTGGGTTGGGATGGGGTGAGAACTGAACCCCAAGTTACAGGTCCCAGGCCTCAGTGGCTCCTCCCTTCCTCTCTAGCTGCCAGTCCTTCTAGTGCTGAGGATATCAGCCCAGCCCCCGTGAGTGCCCCTGCACCTGCAACTGGGGCCTCCCGGGGCCAGGGGTCAGAACCAGCTTCTGCAGCTGGGGGCCAGGTGGGGCCTGAGGCCCCAAGGCCCCCGGGAACCCCACCAGAGTCAAGGTGAGCTCTGGAACCAGCCTCCCCTGCCCCGTCCTCCTGGGAGCAGTCCTCTCCTCCTGCCCTGCCTCGCCAGTGCCCCAGCAGGCTGAAGGATGGGGTAGACGTGAGAATGGGGCCCGCATGAGCCCCCCAACACTTCTTCCTGCTCTCTCCTCAGGTCCTCGAGGCAGCCAGGCCAGGACACGGCCCCTACCCCAGCCCCTCGGCTCCGGAAAGGCTCTGAAGCTCCCCGGCCCCCGGCCCCCAAAGGGGCTGATGAGGTCCCCAGTGCTCCAGAGGTTCCCCAAACAGGAGTGGGTTCTTCTGGGGAAACCCAGACCTGGATAAGCCCCCAGGAAGGGACAAAGGCCCAGGGAGCCAGGCCAGGCCCAGACATTGAGGACCAAGGTCCCAGAGATACCTTGGAGGTGCAGAGACCCAAAGTTGAAGAGGGGGACAATGGGGAAAGACCAGAGGCTAGTGGGGTGGACACTGCACAAAGGGCAGGAGGCACAGCTGGGGAGGCTGAAGAGAGGTCAGAATTCAGTAGAAAGGATGCTGAGCAGAGATCAAAGGTGAGTCTTCTAGCCAATAAGGGACCAGAGGCAACAGGGCTGATGCCTGAGGCATGTTTTAGGGTAACTCCTGAGGCTCCTCCAAGGGGCTCTCARGGGAAGATGGGGTTCAGAGCCCAGGAAGAGATGACTGCAGTCCTGAAGCCACCTCTAGTAGAGCTTGTAGAGYACTCTGGACATCTCAGTGACCTCGGGGGGGCCAGGACTGCTGTAGGCCAGGAGAGAGAGGGTGCAGAGGTGAGGGGCAGAGCCCCTGGTATTGGGAGGACAGCCCTGGAGCAGGGCCCCTCTGCCGGAGCAGCAAGCACCAGGCCCCAGGTGAGCAGGTTTCAGGGGGCCCCATCATCAGCTGACCAGGGGGCAATATCTAGGGATCTGAAGGTCTGGGAGGAAGAATCTGACCAGTCAAGGGTCCTGGGAACAGAGGGTGGGCTAGCAGAGTGGGAGGAATTGAAGACTCAGAAGACAGGCACAAGCAGGTCAGTGTTCCCAGTGAAGGAAACTTGGAGAGCGGAAGCTGAGGTATTGGAGGCCCAGGCAACAGAGGCAGGAAGATCAGGGGTCCTGGAGGTAGAGGCTGCTGGGACAGCCGAGTTGGAGGTATCAAGRACTCAGGAGATACCTGAATGTTCTGGGTTGCTGAGGATAGAAGCTGAGATAGCAGAATCTGAGATATTAGGGATCCTGGAGATGGGGAGAGGAAGTTCTAAGATATCAGAGACAGAGGCTGGGGAGGCAGAAGCTAAAATATTGGAGACCCAGGAAATAGCAACTGACAGTTCAGAGGTTCCAAGAATAGCAGTTGAGGTGGCCGAATCTGAGATATTAGGAGCCCAGGATACAAAGTTGGRGGTTTTGGGGATACCAGGGGTAGAGACTAGGATAGCAGAAGCTGAGATGTCAGGGATCCAAGAGGTAGCACCTAGGGGTTCAAGGGCCCCAAGGATACAACCTGAGATTGCAGGGGGTTCCCAGGAGACAGAGGTAGGAGATTTAGAGGTTTCAGTGATAGAAACTGAGGCAGCACATGCTGAGATATTGGGGGCCCAGGAGACAGAGGTAGGAGGTTCAGGGGTTCTAAGGATTGATACTGGGACAGCAGAAGCTGAGATGTTAGGGATCCAGGAGATAGTAGCTGGGGGTTCAGGGGTCCCAGGGTTAGAAGCTGAGATAGCCAGGGCCCAGGAGACAGAGGTGGAGCACTCTGGGGTCTCAGGGCCTGTGGCTGAAGTGGCAGAGGCTGAGATGCAGAGTATGGAAACTACAGTTCCAGAGCCTGGGGAGGTACAGACTGAGAATTTGGGGGTCCAGGAGGCAGATACTAGGGTCTGGGGAGCTCTCAAAAATGAGGATTTAAGGGCTCCAGGTACTAAGCAAAGAGTTTTAAGGTACCAGGAAGTAGGGGTAGAGGTTTTAGTGGGAGAGAAAGAGACTAAAGTTTTGAGGGCCCAAGGGGCAGAGCCTCATGTTTGGGGGTTGTCAGAGGTCAAATCTGAGGTTTGGGGAGCCCAGAAAGCAGACATGGTCAGTTTAGAGCCCCCAGAGAACAAATCTGTTATTTTTGAGGCCCAGGAAGCAGAGGCTGGGGTCTTGGGAACCAAGAAAGGGCAAGAAGCTGAGGGAAGCCTCCCAAAGGCCAGTCTGATTTCAATGCAGGTGGCCAGTGGGGCGGGGGCTGGGGTGCCCAGGCCCTCGGGGGCCTCTTCCCCAGGGGAGCCTGAAGAGGACAGGAGGCTGCCGGGCAGCCAGGTAGGGATGGGGGCCGCCGAGGGCCCAGCCTGCTTCTTCTCACTAACCTGGGGCTGAGCGAACGGCGGCTCTGCATGGACCCACCTGGTGGACTGAGATGGGATGGGATGGGGAGCTCAGCTTCAAGAGCCCCCTCATCCCCTCCTTCCTCAGGGTGTCCCGGCTCTCCCACCCTGTCTTCCCTGGGTCGCATGGAGCTGGATACTCCTAAGCTGGTTTTCTGGGCTGACTGAGATGTGGCTGCTGGTGACCTCTGATCTTGCCTGGGGGCATCTGACCTTTTAAGTAACCTTGGCAGATAACACCCTTGAGCTGGATACCCTTTTACCGGACCRCAAGGTTCTGGCCAAGTGGTCTCTGAAGACCCCTGCAAACTCAGAGCTGGGGTTGTTTTGTGCCAAGCCTGAGCTTCCCAAAGGGCAGAGGGAACAGGTCCCAGATGCACATTACCTAAGCCCACCTCTTTGTCCTTAGGCACCACCTACCCTGGTCAGCTCCAGCCAGTCCCTGCTGGAGTGGTGCCAAGAGGTCACCACCGGCTACCGTGGTGTCCGCATCACCAATTTCACCACATCCTGGCGCAACGGCTTGGCCTTCTGTGCCATTCTGCACCGATTCTACCCAGACAAGATGTGAGCTTGGGGGGCAGGCAATGACTGGGGGAGCCTATAGGGAGAGCAGTCCAGCTTCTGACCAGCACTCTTTCTGCAGTGACTATGCCTCCCTTGACCCTCTCAACATCAAACAGAACAACAAGCAGGTGAGATGGGGGAGAGAGCCCCGGGGGGGGGGGGGGGGGGGGTCTAGAGTGATGCTGAAGACCTGAGAATTGGGGAATCTATGGGCTGCAGGGACCCGCCAATGTGGCTTTTGGACCTATGTCACCCTTTTTTGTCATTAAATTGTTTCATTTAGTTTGTTTTGGCGTTATTTTTGTTTTGTTTTTAAGCATTATTTCCCCCAGATCCTTTTTCCAAAACCACCCTTTGGTAACTGGGGTGGACAGTGCAGTTGCTAAGTAACGCTTTGGGTGGGGGGGGCTGTTGCTAGATTTCCCTCCGCAGGAGGTAGAAGGCGTTGCTAGGCAAACCCTGGCTTGCAACTCGGGGACCCCCTGAGCGGGCTGGCCCTGGGCTGCAGTTGCTGGGTAACGCCGGTGGCTACCATGGCTGCTGACCCTGAGTGCACCCTTCCTAGGCCTTCGATGGCTTCGCGGCCCTGGGCGTGTCGCGGCTGCTGGAGCCCGCTGACATGGTGCTGCTGTCTGTGCCCGACAAGCTCATCGTCATGACATACCTGTGTCAGATCCGTGCCTTCTGCACCGGGCAGGAGCTGCAGCTGGTGCAGTTGGAGGGCGGTGGTGGTGCCGGCACATACCGCGTGGGCAGCGCCCAGGCGAGTCCTCCCGACGATCTGGATGCCAGCGGCCTGGCGCAGCGGTTGCGCGAGCACGGGGCTGAGGCTTCCAAGGAGCCCAAGGAGGCCACTGGCCGCGAGAACCGAGCGGCCACCAAGGGCGTGGACGCGGTCTGCACGTCCAAGGACGGAGAGACCGAGGCCACAGGGGAAGCGCGCCCGGCAGGGACCCCCGGGGAGGGCTCCGGAGCCCGGTCGCCCCCGTCCCCAGTGCCCCTAGCGGAGGGGCTGGTGAATGGGGCGGGGGGCCCGAGTGGCCCGAGTGGTGCGGGCGGTGTGAGACTGCGGCGGTCTTCCCTCAATACCGAGGCCGGGCCCGTGCCGCCGCCGAGAGCGCATGGCTCCTTCTCCCACGTACGCGACGCGGACCTGCTGAAGAAGAGGCGCTCTCGGCTGCGGAACAGCAACTCCTTCTCGGTGGACGACCCGGACTCGGGAGCCGCGGGAGCTTCGGCAGCCGTCKCTGCGGTGAGTGCCCCGCTTCGGCTGCAGCTTGAGGTGGTAAGGAGCTGGGCCCAAGGACAGAGCTGGTTTCGAGGGCAGCAGTTGAAGAGCAACGGGACTCAGCTGGATGCTGAAAGGCCTCTGATCAGAGGGACCCTTGTGTGGTATTCGTTCCTCATCYGGAGACATTGTTAAGCCAAGGCCCCTCAGGCCCTCAGTGGGCCTGGACTTTGCTGCCTGCCTGGAATATATGCCAGCGGTTTTTAATATTTGTCACCCATTTTGAGGAACCATGGACTGTAGTAGGAAGTTTCCAGAAGGCTCTGTATTGTCAGCACTGGGCACAGTGCTTTGTGGACTATAGAGTTCAGGCCTTTCTCTGTAAGCGACCCTAGGCAGGCACAATTGGGGCAGGGTGTCTGTCCTCAAGGGTCCTCTTAATCCTAAGATTCTCCACCTTGGATCTGTAACAACAGAAGCTGGAGACCAGGTTCCTTTTTTTCTGGAATGGGAGGTTGGAGGTGGAAGACCCTACTGGGGCCTGCAGGTCTCTGGTCGTGTCACAGAGTGTTACATCACTGTGCTCAAGGGAGACAGTCCTGGAGAGAACAGGGACTCATTGAATGACTCCTGTCACTAAAGTCCAGGCTCTGGCTTTGAAGCTGGAGTCTATGACAGTAGGGGCAGTTCTGTCAGGCCACTTCATGCCTGCAACTGCCCAATAGTCCTTGAGTTCAGAAGAAGGAAGGGACTACATTAGAAAAGGCTTTCTGGAAGAAGTAGCAGCCCTTGAGCTCGTTGATAAGATAGGAGGGCTTTCCCGGGTGAAAAATGGGATGGGCGGCTCTTTTRCACAAGCAAAAGCGGGGCAGCAGGCAAGTTCAGGGCTTGTTTAGGGAACTGCCAGTCATCTCCCAGAAGGTCTGCAGATGGTAGTGAGGCCAGGCTGAGGGCTAAAGTGTCAGGTCAGAGGCACAGGTCAGAGCCTGTGAAGGGGGAGCCTGAGAGGGCCCTCATCAAAGATAAGGTAGGCAGGCATCAGTGGGACACAGCCACCTCTWGCCCAACTGGTGAGTGTCAGTGGCTCTTTAAATCTTAAAGGGGAAGCTCTAGCCTACATCCTTCTGGGACCTTGACCCAGCATCTGGTTCTTCCAAGCCTGGCTCTCCTCTAGCCCCTGCCCCACAGGAGATATTTGACCCAGGGGGTTGGTCACCCCCATCCCCAGTGCCCCACATGTACAGAGGGAGGTGGCTCTGCCTGGCCCCACCCTTGGGAATCCCCGTGGCACCTAGAAGCTGGAGTGGGGATGAAGCAACTCCATGAGAAAAGCAGATGTTTCTGGTGCAGCCCTGCAAGGCTTCCTGGAGGAGGGGCCATATTAAGGGTTTAGAAAGAGGAATTTGGGTCAGATATGAGGAAGAAGCATTGGAATTCCCATCAGCGCAGGCGTGAGTAAACTCAATTCCTGCTGTGGTTGGCCTTCTCCTCTTCCTGCCTCTGCCTGCCTTGTCGGTTGAGCCCCCTCCTAATTGCTGGCCTGCCACATGACCCCTCACAGTGCCCGTTCCAGGGAAGTATAACTACCCCATTTTCCACGTTGGAACATTAAAGCTCAGAGAGATGAAGAGGCCAAGAGTATGAACCTATGTTCTGAACCTGAGCTCTTAGGTGGCGCCCCCTGCTGGCCCAGCTCTGTGGATGCACTGTGCCATCCTGGGCAAACATATTTAAGCTCTGTGTGCTCTTTCCTTGGGGCCAAGAAACAAAGGTATGAAAGCCCTTTGAAAAGAAGCCTGCAGATACTACTTAGGGTACTGTAAAAAAGGGAGCTCCGTGTTCCCTTAGATGCCATTCTGGAGCCCTGCAACTCTTATGTCCTAGGGAGCTGGGGTTTCTCCCCATTTTACATATAAGGACACACACAGAAAAAAATCCCAGTGGGAGTTCAAGCTTGGTAAGACTTGGGTGAAATCATGCCTCATATGGGCTTCATCTCTGACTCTCAGTTTCCTTATCTGTAAAGTGAGGGTGGTAATGGTCCCCACTTSACCAGGTCGTCAGGTAAACTAAATGAGAAAGCAAGGTAATGTGCTTTACAGTGCCAACTCGAATTTTTGATAGATATTTGTTATTATTAATTTTTACTYGATATTATTATTAATTAGTATACCCTGGGTGCATGATAGGGCCCAGCCCTATCTGAAGGAGAGCCCTTTGGTCAGGGAGACATGCATAGCCAACAGCATGGTAAAGTGTGGGTAGGATCAAAGCTGTCATGGGAAAGGCCTTGAAGGAAGCATCTGCCTAGACTGGGGACCAGGACAGGCTTCAGGAGGAAGGCAGAAAGGAATGTGGGAACCTGAGGGGGCCTCAGCAGGAGGCAAGCTGAGCTGAGTCATGAAGGTGTCCAKTTGGTTTAGGGCAATTTAAGATGGAGGCCCATTTCAGGCTGAGAGTACTTTTTAGGGAACTGAAAGTCCATCACTGTGGCCAGATGGTGTCATCTAGATGGGACTCAGGATGGTAGGGGAATTGAGGCTAGAGCCACCCACAGGCTTTGGCAGTGAGGCTGAGGACTGAGAAGAGGTGCAAAGAGAATAACGCCATCAATGAAGGTTTTGGGAAGACCTCTCAGTTGTGKCATGGGGGTAGAGTTGCAGGCAGGGCATGGTGGTGGCTGGTGCGGAAGCCACCACTGACCCAGGCTTTAGAGGATGGTACCCGGTCCAAAAATGTCCTGGGCTGCTTCCGAGAGGTTGCAGCCTGGGGCAAACAGTGAGGGGACTGGACACCTTCTCTCCACCCTGTGAAACAGAAAGGTGGTCAGAGCAGCATTGTCAAGGAACTAGAATGTCAGATGAGCTAAAGTGGGAGCCCAGGGCTGACAGTCCCGGCAGGGCGACTATCAGGAGTGAGACACATCACCCTGGACTTCCAGGGTAAAATTTTCAGGTCCAGCCAACCTGGATTCTGGGTGTAGGAACGGATAATAAGGTGGGAGGGTGCCCCCTTTTGGCTGGGAGATGGAGGTGCTGGCTCAGGGTGGCCTATATCCAAAGATGGGGCTGCATCSGGGCAGCTCAGTGTCACTTCCAGGGGCCCTGGCATGATGAGGGTGCCAGCCCTGGGTGACAGGAGTCAGGTGGCCTGGGGGGGCTCCATGGAGGGGTTGGTAATCATCCTAGTCCCAGAAATGAGGACTTGGAGGCCTGGAGGGTTGGTGTGGACGGGCCAGGACCGTGGGCTGGGAGTGGAGGCCTGGCCTTTGCTTAAGGAGGTACTTTCCCCAAAAGAAGGTGGTTGGGAACTGTAGAAAATGCTGGGTAGAGGGTTTGGGAGAGCGGACTCTGCTTTCCCTCTGTGTGAGAGRCTCTGGCTGGCCCAGGCTGGGGCTGTCAGGGAGCCCCTCCCAACCCTCACTGGCCCTTTTTTTCCACAGGAAAGCCCAAGCCCTGACCCCAGCCCTACCCCTGGCCCACCCACAGCCACTGCCCTGCAGCAGCTCCCTGGTGAGTAGTTTGGGGGTGGGGTGACCCCCAGCTCAGCTCAGCAGCTCACAAATCCTGGGCTGAGGATTTCCTGGGGCATGTGTTGGCTGGAGATGCCTTAGCCCGTCTCTGTCTACAGGTGGCAGTACCCCATTGGAGGAGTTACCCCCAAGTCCAGGGGAGGAGGCTGGACTGGTATGTAGGGCTAAATGGGGRAAACTGGTGGGTGGGAACTTCCTAGGCAGAGCTTGGACTGAGCCCACCTATTCCCTGATCCCCTTTCCACCCCTAGCAACGCTTCCAGGACACCAGTCAGTATGTGTGTGCAGAGCTGCAGGCCCTGGAACAGGAGCAGAGGCAGATAGATGGGCGGGCTGCTGAGGTGGAGAAGCAGCTGAGGAGCCTCATGGAGTCAGGTGGGGCTTGCCTCTGGGGTCCACTCCTCAACACACACCGCCAGATCTAACCAGCCCTGCAGCTTCTTTGGGCCTTAGGAGGATCTGGAAGTAGGCCCAGCTGGAGTCATCGTCCSTTTTTATAGCTGGGCATGCTGAGCCCTAAGTGGGGAGCAGCTGGCTGGAGGCACACAGCTCAGGCTTCAGGGATGCCACAAGGAAGCAAACCCCTCCCCCAACCCCCAGCTGTGCTGCTCTGACTGGCAGATGTCCAGTGACTGTCCTGGCCTAATTCAGGTGCCAACAGGCTGCAGGAGGAGATGCTGATCCAGGAGTGGTTCACCCTGGTCAACAAGAAGAATGCTCTCATCCGAAGGCAGGATCAGCTGCAGCTGCTGTGAGTACCAGTCCCAGCAGCGGGCCTGCTGCCCCACCAACCCAGACCCCACCAGCTCAGGCCCTGCCCCCAGCTGGCGTAGGGAGGACTAGCAGAGGGACTCTTAGCTACTTCGGTTAGAGCTATTTGCTGYTTTCTTCTTTCTAAGAAAAATCTGTTTGAAAACCATTGTTCACTCATCGTATTAWTTTTTTGTGCTTATTTCCTGTATAAAGAGCATACTTTTTTATTAATGATAAAGCAAGACTCAGAGAAAATTTTGGCCCAGAAGGGACAGAGCTAAGTCYTCCAATGTGACCCTCTGCCTTTTCGGTAGGAAAAACAGGCCTGGAGGGATCTGAGCAGGCTCCCAAGTGGAGTCAGAAGCAACTCTCCCTATTATTCTCCGTGGTGGAGATGATTTTTGCCTCCCTTTTGCATTGGGGAATTTTTATTTATTTATTTATTTATTTTTTGTGCTAGGGATTGAGCCCTGGGGTGCTACTGAGCCATATCCCAGCCCTTTTTATATTTTATTTGAGATAGAGTCTTACTAAGTTGAGAGCCTTGGCTAAGTTGCTGAGGCTGGCTTTSTACTCCCAACCCTCCTGCCTCAACTTCCTGAGTCACTGGGGTTACAGGTGTGCACCACCACACCTAGTAACATTTTGGATAACTTTTTCAGAACAATTTTAGCCTAATACTTCCATCCACATACCTTCTGGGTTGTTTCTTATTTTAAAAATGGGCSTGGACAGCATAAATATCCAATAATTGGAGACCAGTCAGAACAAAAGGGAATTCTCCATGGGGACTGGGGTATGCTTTTGAGATCAGCCTGAGGGCTAAGGGAAGGGGTGGTGGGGGGTGGTGGTGGGGGGGGTGGGGGGGTGGGATGGGGCCACAAAGCCCTCAGAGCCCTGGGCACTCCCACCCTTTGCGCTTTCCTTACCTGGCCTGCATCCTGCTTCCCAGCATCGAGGAGCAGGACTTGGAGCGGAGGTTTGAGCTGCTGAGCCGGGAGCTGCGGGCCATGCTGGCCATCGAAGGTGGGAAACAGGGCTGAACGGGGCTGGAGGCAGGACAGGGCCACTGGGGCACTCCTGACTCAGGCTACTCCGCCCTCAGACTGGCAGAAAACCGAGGCGCAGCAGCACCGGGAGCAGCTCCTGCTGGAGGAGCTGGTATCGCTGGTGAACCAGCGGGACGAGCTGGTCCGGGACCTGGATCACAAGGAGCGGATGTGAGTGGGGACGGGCAACAGGAGTGGACCCAGGGCGCCGGTGTGGATCGCGGGTCAGCCGAGGCTGGGCTGACTTGAACCTCTTCCCTGCCAGCGCCCTGGAGGAGGACGAGCGTCTGGCTCGCGGCCTGGAGCAGCGGCGCCGCAAGCTGAGCCGGCAGCTGAGCCGGCGCGAACGCTGCGCACTCAGCTGAGCCGCCAGGGCTGGCAGGCCTCCCGGCCTCCCCAGCCTCGGAGTCTTCCTGCCTCCCGGCCCGCAGCTTTGCTCGCCTCCCGCGGCCTGTGCTGGGGAGAACCCGGCCCTCGGGATGAGGCATGTGGCCTCCGGGCTGTTGGCGCCACTGCATCGGACCGGCCGGCTGGACTCCCTGGCAGACCGACAGAGCTGCTGGGCTGTGGCGCCGGCCAGGACGTTATTTATTTGTCGGTATGAGTGTGTGTGCGCGTGTTCATGGGGTTCCAGGGGCGCCTCACAGAGATCTGCCCAATTGCAGGGCCCCCAGGAGGCCTCTGAGGAAGAGGGAGAGGGAGAGGGATGGCGGGGGACTGTCAACCGCACCCTCCTCCTGTTTCTCTCTTGACTAATAAAGTTGGACAAGGACAAGGACACACCGGGTGGGACCTTTCTCTGAACAATTTGGGATGGGACAAATGGAAAAGGGGCTCAGGGTGGTGTTGTCTCTGCGACCGACCTTAAACGTGGCAGACCAGGTTGGGGACTCCCAGATAAACACTGAGGCATGACCAGGCCTCTCAAGAACGATGCCTGGAGTGAAGTCCCATTTTGAAAACAGTGGAGTTGTTGCCATTTATTTTCTTTAACCTTCGATTACATGAAGTTCTGGCACCCACCCGCCCCCATCTCCAGGTTCCTCCCCAAGGACCCCTGGCCGTCTCCTCAGAATCTTCCATCTTAAAGGAGCTGAACTTGGTCACCTGACACGTGTCAGCAAGCTGGTGCCTGTCCTGCAGCTGGGGCATCAGGAGGCAGGGTGCTCAGAGACAGCTCATCCTGGCTCAGGATGCCACCTTGGTCCTCAGGGGTCATCGAGTCACTGGGCCCAAAGAACTTCACCATGGCACGGACCTGTGGCAGCTCTGAAAAGGTCTCCACCGCCAGCAGCATGGCCAGGAGCCCTAAGAGCAAGTAACCTGGAGAGAGAGGTTGCTAGGGCAGTTCTTGGGGTGCCCACAATGCTCCCCACCCACTTCCCAGGGTGATGACCTACCCTGGCACCTGGCTCCAYTCACACCTCTCTCAACAATGCCACCAGGCTTTTACTGTATCTTTCAAACAATGCCCTGGGTTAGGGTCTCCCACCTGTGAAACTTAGGCCCCCAGTGGCTTATGGGAGTTGCAGTTCAGACTCTTTTTCCCTTCTTACACTCACCAAGAAGTGCAAGCTGGCCAAGGTGGTAAATTGCTGGATGCAGGCCATGACCTTGACTGGGCAGCAAGTCCCCCAGCCCAATGGTGCTGAGTGAGCCAAAGCAGAAGTAGATGGCCTCCAGTAGGCTGCAGTCACCCTGCAGACCCCACAGCACCAGTGCCGGCAGTAGCACAAAGATGCAGGCCACCAACAGGCCCAGTCCTGCTGCCTGCAGCAGTGCAGCCTGTGCTGGTGCCAGCTGCCAGCGGGCTGCTACCCAGGTACCTGGGCAGCTAAGCACAGGCAGCAGGCAGTGGCGCAGGGTGGCCACAAGAACTAGGGAGGCTGGCAGCCCCAGGGATGCATAGACCACACAGAAGGCCTTTCCTCCTGCCGATAGTGGGGCCATGTGGCCATAACCTGGAGAAGACAGACAGAGCAGGCAGTGAGCTCTTGAGTGGGATGGCTGCTGGAGGTCTTTACTGTTTTCATTGCCTCCCATAGAAAGCTGCCCTCTAGTGGCGGAAATTGCATGCACGCTTCAGGTTCTGCTGCTTCACTGGGTTAAGGTCAACTTCCTTAACCTCTCTGAGCCATGTTTTTCTGGGAAATGAAAGGATTAAAGAAGACAATCTTAGCCAGGCAGGCATGGTGGCTCAGACCTGCAAGCCCTGGTACTCAGGAGACTGAAGGAGGATTGCAAGTTGAGGCCATTCAAGGCAATTTAGCCCATCTCAAAAAAAAAAAAAAAGAAAAGAAAAAGGTCCCTTCGGCCATCTGTAGCTGGGACAATTCACAGAAATGCTGTCCTTCCCCAGAGAGATCCTGGCTTTCCCTTTTGCAGTAGTGGTGATGGAAGCCAGAGCTTCACACATATTGTAGGCAAGTGTTTTACCACTGAGAAACTCCAACCTGATCCTGGCTTCCTAAGAGATTGCTCAGTTCTGTCCTTAACCTGTACTGCCAATCCACAGCTAGTGGAATATCACCCACTGTTTCATCACCCCAAAGTGCATTACATCTTTCTATGTTCTGGGTCTTGCGCTGGAATCTGAGTCTACCTGGGCCCTCACTTTTGGTTGGAAAGATAGGCAGGAAAAACAGTCTCGAAGGTGGACACAAAAGTRCTACAATCAGGCAGCATGCATGAGAGAGGTCAGATGGGGCCAGGGAAGCACATGCAAGGCAGGGAGAGGTGGCAGAGCAGAGCATGYTGGGAGAACAGGATCAGCTAGTTGAGAGGTTGCAAACTCCAATGCCCACAGAAACTGACCGTGAGATAAGAGGGAGAGGTGAGTGGTGGGGACTAGGATAGGCTGGAGGGCATGTGCTTTGCCTAGAGACAGGACAGGACCTGGACCAGTAACATACTGGACCACTATGTTACCTTGCAGGGACTCAGACTCAGTATAAATTGTTTCTTGAATTTCCAAAAGAAGGTAGGTGTGAGGCCCAGAGTTTGATCCCCAGAAACACACACACACCACACACATACCCTAATAATGATAATAATTCAGACACTTTGCAGGACAAAACAAAAACCCAGGGCCATTGCCTCATTTCTCTGGGCTAAGTACATGCTGTTTTCCTCAACCAGGAATTCCTTCAACCCTCATGGCTGTGCCTCCTGCCATGGCTAACAGCTCATCGGGGATTCCTCCACTATACTCCTCCTGAGCTGGTAATCCTGGTCTGTGCTTTCTCCCTCCATCCAATAATCCATCCTTTGGTGTTGTCTCAGGCTCATGGATCTGAGTATCTCTCCTGGATTTCAAAGGGTGCCTGGGGAGGCCACACCCCTTCTGGCAGCTGAAGTGGAGGCACCAGTTGGGGTGTGTTGGTATGGGGAGCCCCAGTTGTGATGTCAGGCCTGATAGGGCTAGGCTCTGTCTTAGGGCTTTGGGGTTGGGGGAAGGGCTGCACCCCCAGGGACCTCAGGGAGCCAGGGCCTCAGGAGCCAGCTCCGACTGGGCTGCCTGGCAGCCTTACCCGTGGTGGTGAGGATGCTGGCAGTGAAGAGGAGGGCCGAGGGCAGATTCCAGTTGCTGGCCTCAGAACTGTTGCCCAGGCTGGAGACTCCGTGGGCTTGTGCTCTCAAGGCCACGCCCAGTAGCTCTTCCAGTGCTCCAGGTGGCAGGCAGGCCCCATAATCTGCCTGGAAGGTAGCCAGCTCGGCCTGGAGCTGGGTCTGGAGCTGGAGCGCTGGGGGGCCCTCCAAGGCCTGGAGTACCACAGCCCCAAGCCCCATGGCCAGCAGGTGGGCCACAACTAGGAGCATGTACCGGGCCCAGGGCCTCAGAYCCCCCATAGCGTGGCGCTAGTCTGGTCACCTGGGAGCTGGTGGCTCCTCCACAAGCAGCTGGGAGGGGCTCCGCAGGGCGGTTGGGAGGAGGCGCTGTGTGGGTGGCTGGGCAGAGCCGGGGTGAGTGTGAATGGGAGGGTGATGAGCCTGAGCACTCCTCCCARTTTCTGGGGGCAAGACTTTTGCCCATTTCAGGCAGCTGGGGTGGGGGCAGGTGGAGGAAGGTGCTGCAGTGAGGGAGAGGGMAGGAGGCTGAGGCTGAGAGAGAACTTCACATTTATTTAAGGTCATGTTCACCAGTCACACATACCCCATCTCATTCAGATACCAAGGAAGAGGACAGACACAGGTCCCTTTCCTCCTGATGTTCACACAGAAAATGTATGAACCAAGACGTGACATCTTCACATTGTCCTAAGTTCTTGGAGCAAACAGCCAGGTCAGGGGAAAGCTCCCTTAAGAAGCTGACATTTCAGCTGGGGAATGAGAACAGGCTACCCATGGTGGGAAGAGCCTGCGGTGGGGAAGGAGCAGGGGGCTCACCATGGGGAGGGAGCAAGGATACAGGCCCACCGGGGGGGACCCTGGGGGTGGAAGGACAGTGGCCAGGGCAGAGGAGTGGTGGGATTCAGGATGGATGTGGTGGGGGCAGGGAAGGTGAGTCTCTGCTACACTGCAGACAGAGCCTGGCTGCCATGGCATGCTGGGGCAGGCAGAGGAGCCTGAGCCACACTCCCACAAACTCTTGTAGAAGCGTTGAAAATGCCAGGATGGGTGGACTGACTTTGCGTGTGTCCAGATTGTGGATGAGACAAACACAGGCAAACCCTCAAGACACTGCTTCCCGGCCTGTGGGCTCCTAAGTTCAGAGATCTACCTGGGGTGGGGACAGCACAGCCAGGGATGGTGACCTGGGGAGGCGACTCTGCAGCTGGCCCCAGAAGATAGGCAGAGACCACCCAGCAACAGGGAGGATCAAGGCAAACAGTCGCTTGAATGGTGGGATGACCTGCAAACKCGCAGGGTGGAAGAAGTCTGGGAGGGGTGGGGAGAAGGTGGGCAAGGCCAGCATGTGTGGGTGTCAGGAGGGCTGGGGCAGGTCTCAAGACAGGGGTATGGTACAAGGTATCCTGGCCTAGGTCCAGGCCATCTGCCCACTGTGCTAGGGGCATGAGGACACCAAGGTCCTCGGATAGCTTGAGTCTCCTGGTTACCTCCAAGAAAAGTGTCAGGCTGCATTTGGAGAGACAGCTTACAAGTTTATTTGGCTTCATTGGATCCCGAGACCAGGGCCCCCACCCTGGCTGGGGTAGCAGGAAGGCACCCAGAGAGCCCCGGCYCCACTGACCCCCAGGGCAGGGGGCCCAGGCACTAAGCCCTAGGGGCAGGGGCCACAGTAGCAGGACTTGGTCAAAAGTGCTGGTGACAGCTGAGGCTGGCCCCTCCCCTGCACCTCCCTCCTCCCTACACCCTGGGGGCAATTCCCTGAGACAGGCTCTGGTCCTCCCAACCAGCTGGGTACAGTGTCAGGCCCCAGTGGGGCAAATAAGTCAAGGGGACCTATAGGTCGTAAATTGGGGGGGGTGCAGGCCCCCCATCCAGTGTGATGGCTTCCTGTGCAGTGTAGTGTTCCTGACCCCCAACAGGGGGCGGAGTCTCTGGGGGAAACCAAGCAGCTCCAGATGCGTGCTTGGCTCCTGTTCCAGTGTATGCTGCGGCTCCTCCATGGCAGGTGGGACAGAAGACGGCCTGGCCCACTCAAGGGCCAGCCTCTGGTGCCCATGGGGCTTGGGCACCCATGTCTTTGGTCTGCGCCCTGCAGTCCTGGGGGCCTCCCCGGAAGGGGTTGGCAGGTGGGGAGTCCCAGAAAGGATCTGAATCTGGGAACAAGGTCCAAGGTGCCCGTCTGGGCGCAGGCTGTGGTGAGGGCAAGGGTG